GTATAACAATAGATTTCGTAGCCTGAAATAACATACTAAAATATTATAGGTTTACAATAAGTAGTTTAATTATGAAAAATCATCTAAAAGTTTTCTATTTCGATTCTAATCAGAATCCATGCCGAACCGTCTGTGCGTTCTGGGGTGTTTCGTAGGCAGTACTGATTAAGTCAGTCTGAAATAGAACACATTTTTAAATTCAGAAATGGATAAAACGAATTTAAATAATTTAATTTAATTTTTACAATTGATATCAATTATTCTGAGTAAAATAGTCGTCGAGATAAGATATTTTTTTAATTAAGAGTATCTGTAAAGAACAGAAAAACAAAATTTGGCATAGGTTTTATTGCTTACCAAAACAAACCAAAACATTTTGTTTGGAATTTCGAAATCTACATTTTTAGAAAATATCAATGTAAGAACCCATTTTATCGTCAATAGCATCGCCTTCTATATATACCGATAAAATGAACAATGTAAGAAATAATTTCTTACATTGAGTATTTGTGGTTCATGTTAATTTCTTCATTATTCAACTTATTTTTTAACTTTTTACTATTTCTTAAAAATATTCTTTGCATTATATTCTGTTCTTCATTATTGAAAGCAACATAACGATTTTATATTATCTAATTATTTTTAAAATAAACGTCTATCAATTTCAATGATGTTTATTTTACCTTACATTGCACACATGGCATTTAATCCGGCTCCTCGCAATAAACATTTTCTGAGGGCGAGTTGCACACACGTGAAATATTGAAAAAAATAATGAAAATATTGAAATCTTAAGTTTTTCTACATTGAAATATATTAGTCAGAAGTTTATACGGCGAATGAAAATAATTAATAATAATAATTATTGTTTTATTCGGCGCGTTGGATTTTTATTATGACTAATGAATATACTTATATACAAGATATAAATAAATTTTGGTTTTTAATAAATATTTCCATACTTATATACAGATTTGTCGAGACGCGCGATAACGACGAGCCTTATGCTTGCTCGTCGCTCTTGCAAAGCGACTTTATATGGGTGTTCTTGTACCGGCAGGGCGCGAACTAGCTTCAGTTTTTCCAACTTTTCACCCAAAGTTCCTCTCACATTTAAATGAATTTTTGAATAACCGAAGAAATGTGTACAGGCTTTCGAATGATGCTAATATAAAAGTAGTCCAAAGAGCCGCATTGGTAGAAAATGGCAAATGAAAAATCATTTTCACTTTTTCACGCTTTAACAAATAATCTTTTCACATTATTTGTTATGAACAACATAGACAAGATCAGTATAAATAGAATGACGTTAACATTTTTGGATAATAATTTTTTGATAGCAGAAGAAATGTGTACAGGCTTTCGAATGATGCTAATATAAAAGTAGTCCAAAGAGCCGCACTGGTAGAAAATGAAAATGCATTTTTACCTTTTCACGCACTAACAAATAATTTTTTTACGTTATTTGTTATGAGCAACATAGACAAGATCAGTATAAATAGAATGACGTTAACATTTTTTCGATATTTCTCATATTTCCGACAAAAAGTGAGTTTAAAAAAAGGGGCCACTTTCACATGTTTTCACTGAAATTATTTCACTGATATCTCGGCCAAATGATGAGCTACGGATTTGAAATTTGGTATTTCGAATTTTCTTGAAAATACCTATAAAATGGCATCTAAATCTAAATTTAAATACCAGGGTGGGGCCAATTCTGTATGGAAACACGCCCAGACCCTTTGCTGACAAATTGGGTGATTTCCTTAGTAAACCAGATTCTTTATCAAAAATGAAACAATATAAAATTTTGCTCCTGAGGATCGCGTTCGAAAAAAATTGTCGTCTCGAATGGGTTGAGGCAAAACAGTTAATATAACCTTCGTTATCGGAAATCTATATACATATGTGCGTGCATCAATAGTTTAGCATGACGTAAACTATTCTCATGTAACAATACTGACTTTAGTTTCATTTTCCAGCCAGCCGGAGAGCATATGAGTCCGGGACGCGGTCCCGGTGTCGGGTTGCCGCCGGGCCTGACCCAGGTCCCGGCCGCGACGACAGTCGTGCATCAGCCGGCAGACCGCCTGCAACTTCTATACCAAGACAAGCCAGCCAACCTCAACAACAACACAGTTTCCCAGCAACATCAGCCGATCGCCAATCAAAACAACGTCAATCTGGCTGGACACAACCACGTGACCAGAGACGACGGTTCTAGCGGATACGGGAGCCCGGATAGCGAGACCTTCGAAGTACCTCAATGACGAGCGAACCGGCACCGGGTCAATTAGGGAAAGCCCGGAGGTTTGAGTAAAAGACCTAAAACGATGTTCACATGAGGAAAACGACATATTTGAAATTATAAGTTCAATCAGGAAAAAGTGGTCTGAATTAATGTTTGAAAAAATATTCACTGAAATAAGCCTTTAGCATTGGAGAAAAATTACTATTCATGATGCAACTTTCATTTTTTCTTGTTATTGGCATATCAAATTTCAAGAAAAATCTGCTGATTGGAAAATTAATTAATAAATCGCATAAATTAAAAGATACTCGTCAATTTGTTGGTAAACATTCTAAATAAATTACCCTATGAATGGCTTAGCATCATAATTGGGAAATAATATTGACTTTGAATATATAAAATTGGCTTTTATTAAACATAAATATGTAAGTACATCTATCGACCATTTAAAAATGATCAGTTTATTTTTATAAAATCAACTGTCTGTATATTGAGTACGTATATATGGTGCTAGATAGTTCTACTATTAAAGATACAGTTACAAAAATATTATAATCTATTACATAATATTCTATGGATTTCGAATCCAGAACATTTTTCACAGTACCCATTGTTTATTGTGAGGTGTGTAGTGCGTGATAGTGACAAAGACATCAGTGACTTATATCTCAACTACATCAATATAGATATTTTTGTAATAGTGCAAACTAAAAAGGTATTTCCATCTGCTATCTTATGGTTTTAATTAATATATATTTTCAACGTGATGCATTAATTACTGTATCTCCTAGCGAAAATGTGAATACTACGTAAGTTGTTGTAGCTTTATATTTTCTATAAACATAATGGTGATTATTTTACATATTTAAGTATTTAATCCCAAGTTAAGTATTCTTATTCAACCGTGTATATAATATATATTTACGCATTAAAATGATTTAATAATGAAAGTATATAAACTGCACTGTGATAAATGCATATTACTATTCGATCCGAATGTTCTATTCATTAGTGTGTTATAGTTTGTAATACCAGTGCTAGTCAATCGCCAAAAATAATGCCATCGTATTTGATAATATTAATGAAAATTTATGAAATCAAACACTAAATTATTTTTTTTATGTTTATTATTTTCAAAATAGGGCTCTCTCATATTTGGGTGAATTAATACTTCGAGTCGGATTTAAAAAATATAATTTTAGTTATACATTCTGTATAAAAAAATAATATTTATTTCGGAAATCATACCTAAGTGCTTCATTAGTAATAAATAAATTTAAATTTATTTTTTAATTTTCCAAGATACGGTTATTTTTATTTCAAATGTAAATTGTGAAATATATTTAACAATATATAGTTGTTCACAATAAAAATAAGATACAAACTTTATGCAATATTGTTATTAAGAAAATTAATAGCTTATGAAGCAATGAAGCAATGAAGCAATTACAAAATTTATTGCTATTTTTGTTTTTATATGCTATTGCTTGGATTTGCGATCACGATTTTAAAAATTATTCGTACTTCATATTTTTATTTTTATAAAAATAATATAATAATATAATATAATAATGAAAACTGTAAATGTGTGTTAAAAGTAAATCATAATATTTTAATCGACAATTTACTTAAAGACCCAAAATCGTAATAATTCTATTCTTATAAGATTTACTTTTAACACACATTTACAGTCTTATATTTTATGAATATCGAAAATGGCAGCCCTAATTGTAATAAATATATAAGTTTAGTTTAGTGTTTGATTTTAAATTTTAATATGTGAAACTATTTTCTGAAACCATCAAAAACTTCTAAGTAATTAAAGAATAAAATAATTTGAATAACTTTTATTCAGAAATATGCAAATAAATTTATTTGTAAATATTAACTCCATGCACTTTTAAATATTAAGATAAATTGTATATATATATGATATAGTATATCATTGTACTGTAATTAAATTAACAAAACATGATTTCATTAACTGATACATCAGATCTGTTAAAAAAACTTTATGTATACGATTTATATATTTCTTTAAACTTGTTATTTTCTTGTTAAATAAAAAAAAAGATGAATTTTTACTATTTTTAAACCAATTGTCCAAGCTGATTAACGGGATGACCGATTTACTACTGAGAAACGATTTTACGGATTCATTATGTCAATAACTTATCATTTACCAGGACCCTTTAATGTAGTTTATGAACAACTGGTTTCAAAGTATATTAATTTCATGTTGAATTAATTTATTTATTATCAAATAAAAAACTAAAAATGTATGTCCACAAAATTTTATTTCGATGTAATAATGATTATGAAATTTTAAAAACAATGTATATAAAATGTAAATATATGCACTCTAAAATTATAAATAATTAACTACTATGGTTTTTAATATATTCTGCTTTTTGGATCAATCTATTTGAATCAGACAATTTAGGATACCAGTTAAAAACATCATTAAAACGCACAACTTATATTAACTACTTTACAATAAAAATTACACATAATGAAAATATATAACAAAACATGTTATAAGTTTATTACATTTAACAAACGTGAATCTTAAATTAAAAACTAAAGTAAATAAATTAAACAAATATGTAAACAAGATTTAGATAATTATTTTGTCCTGGAATTAAATGTTTGGTAAAATCAACAAATAAATATCGACTATATTTAAAACTATCTCACTAATTGGTTTATTTCATAAAATTTTGATTCATCCACATTAATATTTATAATCTTTGTTTCATGTTTTCTTAAAAAATTCTTTGTAGCTGTTTTTATAATTACATGCAATTGCTTCCTTAGGATAATAAATATACAAATAAGTTTCTTATAAGATTTATAAGTTTTTTATGATGAGGAACTATTGTCCCCATTATCGTGAAAGGGTGTATTATTTCCATTTGCTGAAAATGACATACCCAAACCATATAAATGACCACTGTACTTGGAATCATCAATATTATCTTCAAAAAACATCTGAAAAATAAATTTTTCATTATCATTATGATCATTTATTCATTTTTACTTCAAGTCGGCACCGAGTAAAAAATTAAATAAGAAAATAAATATATTTTACTTCTAATTTAATACAATCATTTAACATCTCATTTTTCATACTGAAAATCTACATTTCAATTTAATTCATATTGAAAGAATTCAAATATATTTGCATTGGATTCAAAATTTGCACTTGAACAAACCTCGCGCATTTTGAAAAATGCCATCCCCGTTAACAGTGAGTCGGATCCTGCTTGGTGCTGGGGACCAACTCTGCGTAATTCTAGTTGATCCGCCACTTCTTGTAACCCACCTTTCAAATTCTTACAAGATTTCATTAGATACTGAAAAAAAGATTAGAATAATCAAATATACATGAATCTTTTTCATTTAAACAACAAATAGCTTCAATGGTCTCCAAGACCTTGATAAATCATGATGTTATATTTACCTTTATATCATATATAACTGGAAAATATATTTTTAATAAATCAAAAAAATCTGCTTCCTCTTGTGGTAAATTTTGGTCAGTCAATAGTTTCAGTAAATATCCAAAATCATAACCAGAATGAAAACTTAACCATTTGATATTGTCCATTAATACTATGCCAGACGTCATTAGGATTTCAGCAAATTCTAAAGGATCTATACCATCTTCCTCGTGTTTCTTAAATTGTATACCCGAATTTGTGAGTAAATCAATTGAATCTTGAGCGTACATATCTTCCCTGAAAATATAATGATTAAGTAAGCATATGAGTGTATTTCAGTATGCATGAAAGAACAATAGAAGCATGTTATGTAAGTAATGTATACTAAAATTATTATAGATTAAGCAATAGCAGTTGTAACAATGTATTGCAGGTTCTAAATTATTATAGATGAACTTACGATAAGTTGAATTTGAAGTTAAATTGCCATGTGGTATAGCCAGAAGGAGTTTTTCCATGCTTGTCATAGAAGGTCAGTCCAAGTTGTATTATCCTTAGCAAGTCTACATTACATCTTAGTAATTGATATTGATAATCTGCAGTTGATCGAAATTCTCCAATAGGCCTCGCAACTACACCAGGAAATTCTGTATCCATTGCAATGTAATTATATTGTGTGACCAGCTGAAAATAGAAGATATTAAAATATATGTTTTAATAAATTGGTTATTTGGAAAGAATTACTTTCAAACCTATAGGAAAAAGGGTAAGAGGTTTTTGGTATTCTACATTTGTCTATATAAATTCTTACTAAACTATTTACAATTTCAAATAATCTTCTATTTCTGATAAGTTACATACATTATTTTACATAATTATTAAGTCTTAGAGTTTTGTAAATTTATAAAACCATAAATAAATTGATTTCAGAATAGTGCACAGTTTTAAAATATACTTCACATATCATAGCAAATAAATTATCTAAAATATTTAAGTCAAGTGTTAATTGTATGTTATTTTTGCCTTTTCAATTTTGTTATTCTTATATTTGGTCCTAACCATTTGATCTAATTCATATTAATAGATAGTATTTTATATATATATATTCTTTGCAAATTTGATAAAAATATACCTCACAAAACATAATACATAATTAGAAAAACATGTGAGCTGGTTATGCCTTTCCCACACCAACTACAGACAAGAGCAATCTATTTAAAATTTTGTTGAACTAGTTCTATTTTACTTAATTGCAATAAAATTATTCACAGATATTATTACATATTTCTCCAATTGCTTATACAATATCTCATATTTGCTTTGGATTATGTCGCATGTTTGTAACTTCAAAACTTGACAATTCTGATCTGGGCCAGTTATGGGACGTACGATAACTCCAGGAAATTCGGTATCCATTGACACATGATCATAGTGCTTTACGATCTGTAACAATAGGAAACAGGATATGTAGGGCAACATGCGAGGAAGAAGGTTTATTTAGGAATGGTATGGTGTGAAGCTTTGAAGGAATTATTGTATTGAATAAGAGGTATGTTAATATTAGCCTTTTGTGTAAAATATTATAATACTAGGCTATTGCTACATCCACTAAAATGTGGGAAAGCATAATAAAAACATATACTGTAAGTGCCCAAGCCTATGTATATTTTTAGCGAGTCATCTGATGCGGCAATTAAATATTTCATTTAATTGCATAAGTGTATTTGTGCTCTTATTTATAAACTAAATATTGGAAAATAAGTTCATAATTCATGAACTGATAATAATAATATTACTTGACAAAGCTGCTATTAGTTACTTTTCATAGCTATTAATAAGTAAGTATACCTTACAACAGTGATTCTCATGCTCATGCAAAAAAAATCAAATTTTGTATTCTGATTTAGTTCTCAATTTGTCTAATTTTTTTAGTAAATAGTGTGTGGAATAAAAGTTAATGAAATCACTGTTTTATAAGGTAGACATTACTAAATTATTGCTAAAACAACTCTTAAATCAGATGACTCGCCAAAAATATATGTAGGCCTGGTGTCGTATTAAAGGGAATTATTTAATAAATTACTGCCTAATGTCACAAAAACATGTGTGTATATATATATATATATATATATATATATTCTTATTATTAATTAAACTATACCAAGCCTTTAAAAAATCATAATCATTTCTACATTAGTCTCAACGTAAATAAACCTTCAACAACATAAATATAGTACATAATTTTACAGATAATAAAATGCCACAAGATTAATTATTGAATAAGTTTAATTTTGCTTCATTGTATATTTAAAAACACAAAGTGGTATAATATAAGTTCATTAATCAAATGAGATCAAAATATTATAAGTACCTTATGTTATTAATGTATTTTATAATATACTTTTAATAAAAAATGATATAGTAAACGTAAATAGATAAACCTATGAATAGAAACAATAACATTGTACTGTTTAGATGATATTTTGTTCATTTACCTGTCGTATTGTCCGAAATTCTTCTTCCATATTATGCTTCCAGACATCTCTAATGCCACAATCTTCATTATTAGGGATAGACCCATGAGAACTGCTCGTTGCAGAAGGCATATCCTAAACAATTGAAAAAACTATAATGTATATATGAATATATATATTACAATTAAGTAGAGGTAAGAAGACAAAATTTGCACTCCTAAAACTGACATAAAATACATATAGTAATAATTATCACAGCAGTCAAAATATAAGAAAGAATACTAATTGTTTAGATTGCAGAAACATACAATAGGCAGTTAATAAAAAGATAACAAGTATGGCAATTGGAATTTCAAACAGATCGAAATTTAAAACAAATGTTTGTTCCTTATAATATGTATGAACTAATAATAGCTCGATCACAGTCAACATGTTCTATGTTCAAACATAACTATTAAAAAGCGCTAATTTGACAGCGACTTAATATCACATAATATTATGTGCATATAAGTAACTAAAATCACCTCAGTATTCTCTCTCTGTATTATAACCTCCACCTCTTTTTGTTTATTATTATTATCAACAGCATCTAAATCTTCTTGAGAATAACTCAAGCCTTGCTTTTCCTCCCAATTTTCCCAATAGCTGTCTGTGTGGTCGAATGCACGGCCTCCACTCTCAAGCTGCACAGGCGCTTTCATGGGTGATGCCCTTGTTCTATAATATTATATCAAAGTAAATTCAATTGTATCAAATAAAATATTCAAAATTCTACTGGTATTTATATCAATTGAAATTATTGGTCTTTATTACTTTGTTACAGGTGAAGTATCACTTAAAATAACCGAACAAGCAATGAGAGAGGCGTTCATGGTTAGAAAATACTAGATTTCTATTTTATTTAATAATTATTCTTTGTAATGACATTACAAAGTATTAGTAAGAATATTTATAAAAATAAACATACCCATTTCAACTTTATTTCATTAAAAACTTTGCTAAACACGAGTGAAGTTGTAGTACATTCAGTGTCATTATGTGTCCATAGTCATAGTGTTACCTGATTAAAATTGTTTTCAGATTAGAATTAAAATTAAAACAATAAAGCAAATAAAATAATGATTTTCAAAATAACTCATAATTCATAAAATGATTTGAAATTTTGTATTTAAAACACTTATTCCTAATGAGACTTTAAAAAATTTAAACGCAAATGTCATTAGGCTACGGGCACACATGGTTGTGTCGTTGTGAGTGACTCATCATGCCATGTTTACTTTTCTATGCAGCATGCTTTAAAGGGCCTGAATCGTTACAAAAATATTGGCCCAAACATGAATTGACAAGGCTCTCAAATAAAAAGTCGGGCTGAATGTATACATCAAAAGTTTAGGTCATAAAGTAGGGTCGTACTTAAACATCACGAGCATAGGTCATAAAGTTGTGATTGAATATTATTTTCTATCAGTACGTGATCCGAATCAGGTATGAGTCTCATAATTTTTGTGAAAAAGTATTTTATGTATGGAAATTTAATAATAAAACTTTAAAAAATGCATTCCCCTTTTGTTTTTAGTTTTTTTATTATATTAGCCACTGGGGATATCTACTAATTTGTAAACAACCAATTGTAAACAACTTGTCAGCAATCTCTGCTAAGTAAATGTAATCTGTATATATATTGCAGAATAACTAAATAAATAAATCTTGGTACGGAACCCACGGATTTACACAAAATCAGTACACATAATTAAAATCTTTATAAAATATCTGATAATTTTATGTACATATGTTCAATAAACATTTTTGACCGCCAAATGTCATTTTTTTAAATTATTTTTATTGAGAGTACATAACCGTGGGCCTGCCTTCTCAAATAGTTAATCAGTTCTTTATCTTGCCAATACAATTAAAATGTTTTTTGAATTATTAAAATCGGACGCTCCGTCCTCTTAAAAACTGAGTTACCGTTTTTGGCACTTTTTGCCCCGTATCTCTGTTACGGCTAGACACATTATTTTATTGTCTAGGGCTAGACCTCCCTTCGCCAGAAACTAATCAGCACGTCTCCTTATCAATACGAATCGGTTTTGAA